CATTCATTCATTCATTCATTCATTCATTCATTCATTCATTCATTCTTTTATTGTCTTATCTTTAGTCGACATATCATCTCCTTTATATCCATCTCTCATACCTGTTCACTGAAAGCCGTTATTTAGTTTTCCGCCACTTTTGTTTACAAATTGTATTTATGACAACCTTTATTTAAAACGAAATTCAAAATTCTTTGTGCTCTTAAAATCTTGACCCAGTATACTCAAAACACTTAAAAGGTGGTCATTATTGTTTGAGTACGATGTAGTGACGTAACTCACCTTTATTTAGAATCAGACTTCCTCTATATATTCCCAGGCAACCTACCAGAGAGGTAATGCGTTAATTTTAGAGAGATTTACAGAAAAATATTTTCAGGTAAGAAAATGAAGAACCCCTTTTTTTTTTAATTTAATAAATTAACAGAGATACTTTCACAGATATAGTCGCTTTAGCGTCTCGAATTGTCAGTTAATTTTGCCTGCTTTTTAAGAAGGAAAAAGTATAAGGGTCTTTAGGTTATGACAGGGAATGTCTTGAAATGATTTGTCGGCCTTTGTAGAAAGCAGAATTGACCACTTTTCGCTTAGCTTAACAAAATGTTTGGTAATTGAAGGATCATTTAGCGCGGAGTGCTTGAGTAAAAGTCTCATGAGCTTAGCTCTTGGAGAGAAGACAGAAGACAGAGAGTCTACATGTTTAAAGAAAAGAAGAAGAAGAAAAAAAAAAAACAAAAACAAAAACAAAAGAGAAAAGAAAGGAAAAAAAAAAGTCTCATGGCGGTTCACGTAATGAAAAAAGTAATAAAATTAGGAATTAAGCAAGCAATTAGATTTGCGTAAGATGCAAGCAAATAAAAAAATAGATGAATGACCGAACTAGTAAATGAACAATCTAACTAACCAAGCTAATAACCAACCAATCTACCGACCAACCAACCAACCGACCGACTATTTTAAAATAAATGCATTTGGGTATTTAGAGAACAAGCCTCCTTTATTTGTTTTGTATTGAGACAGGATCTGGAATGTCCAGTCAAATTTCTTTGTCTTTCAATATTTCAAGACAAATAAGGATGAATCAATTGTAAATAACTACTTCGATTAAAAAAGGCTTTCTTTAAATAAATTGCAAGTTCAATTAGCAGTGAAGAACGTAGCCTTGCCTTTGCATCGAAGCGAGACGAACGGTGAGCTTGGTTGATAAAGACATCTAAATAATTGCCCAACGTGTATAAAAGGTCTCTATCATTGTGAAGTGATGGCGCAATTAATAGCGCATAGCGTATCGATAGTTATTTGTCATAGTTTTTTAAAGAAATGAGATTTGTTTATTTTATCGGAATAGCCTTTTTTTATTATTTAGAGTAGACTACATGTCTACTGGAAAAGGTTCGAAGCGCCAAGAGGTGTTAAGGGCGACTTCCTTTTTAACTCACACAATCTAAATTATTTACAATTGACAGAATTTTTTTTCCTCAGGCATAAAACACAGATGACCAATTAGTAAATAACCCTTATTCTATCTTCTAGAATAACAACATTTTCCCACTATTTCTTAACCTAATATTTTTGGAAGCCGAAACGTCTTCTAATTAGGAAAATTGCATGAAGCAATTCTTTAAAAGCCACTCAATTATGAAAAGCTAGCTTTTATTTCTTTTTATCGCTTGCGATTAAGAGTATTACGTAAAACTGCATCGCCTCGATACTATTAATCATAATGATAGTGAACTACCTAGAGGCCAAATTTCACTTTAAAAAATAACTGCTCTAAATCTCGCGTTCTGATTGGTTGGGAGCGCGTGCTTTATGAGAGCACACAGCACGCGCGCGCACTTTCAGTTTCGTCAGTCATGTAATTTGTATTTTATAAAAGAAATAAAAAAACTTGCTTGCTGTGCTGTGTGGAGTTATAAAGCACTTGGGGATTGGCAGAACACTCGAGAAGTGTCCAGAACCACTCCGCTACGCGTCGTTCTTCTCCTAACACTTCTCTCGTGTTCTGCTAACCTCCACGTGCTTTGTGACTGCACACAGCACGCGCGCTCGCTCGTTTTCTATTTCTTCAATTACGTTCATATATACATTCGCACATGTATACATTTTATTGCAAGAACGTTGCCATTCATCGTTCAACAATATAATGAAATTGAATAGAATTGAATTTATAGTCCAATTTACCGCTGTGTTTCTCGATTACAGACTCATTTAAGCGGCGGGGCTTTAGCTTTGTTTTTTGTTTTTCTTTT